ACCAGAAAACAGTGATATTTCAGAAACTGAGTCTGACTGATTAGACAAAGAAACTTGTGAGGCTAATATTTTCAAGGATACATTTGATTGTTTAAAAGTCATATTGGTTTCATGTGCTGAATTTTGTCTCCAGCCTTAGAGGGATTTTTTTTGTGAGCTCTTTTTCTAAAAATACGAGTTTCTTCTATTTTTGGAGACTGCTGACTGTATGGAGGACACTTTCTAAGTCAAGATAATAATAACTTCCTTTTTTTACTCCAATGTTGATGGTTTCTATTTTCAACTTTGTACTTTTAAATTTCATAAATATACCAAACATTACAAGTTTATGTGCTAATCAAGTTATATAAAACATATTTTATGTTCTTAAAGTAGTAGATAGATAAGAAAATAAATATTGCATATATTTCATTTTTTCCCCAAATTTCCTTTTTATTCCATGAAAAAAACGGGGAAAAAACATGGTTTTTTTTTCCCATGGCTTCAACATTTCCTGAAATTTTACACCTCTACCTGGGGCACGCCACTTCATACTACCTGCCAACTAAACATTGAGCCATTGACTATTACCCTCTGAGCCTGATGCCCCAGCCAGTTTTCTATCCACCTTACAGTCCATTCATCCAGCCCATACTTCCTTAGCTTGCCTGCAAAAACGTGGAAGACCACCAAAAGCCTTGCTAAAACCAAGGTACAACACATCCACTTGTCTCCCCACATCCACAGAGGCAGTCATCTCATCATAGAAGGCAATCAGGTTGGTCAGGCATGACTTGCTCTTGCTAAATCCATGCTGACTGTTCCTAATCACCTTCTTCTCTTCCAAGTACTTAAAAATGGATTCCTTGAGGACCTGCTCCAAGCTAGCCTCAGCTTGGCCTGCAAGCTGGAAGGTAGTTTCCAGTGCTCTCTGCCTTCTCGCCTGGGTCAGTGCAGGCTTCTGCCTGTTTTTCCAAACTGAAAACTGGATGTCAGTTCAGTTCCTTATCAGTTCCTTAAGCAACTGAAATAAAAATCTTACAACGGTAAATGCTGGGCTGTCTTAATATATCATCTGTGCTATCTGCTCAGCATCATTCTGATACTGACTATACAGATTTATTTTCAGGAGGAGGTGTTTCCCTGTATCAGGCCCAACAGGGAGATGCAAGAAACCTGGCATATACAAGGAACTGAAAATAAAAATGGTATTGTTGCCAGAAGACCTTCCCCATTTTCATAAGCAGTTCTTCACTCACCCTAGAAAGGCAACCCATGACAGTTTTTCTGTACAAGAAAAATTCCCTGCACTTTAGTAGTAAAAGTTTTGGAAAGGACTCTTCAGTCTAAAATAATATTTAAAAAAAAACCTTCAGGGAGAAGGTTCTCTTTCTAATGAGAACAAAATATTACTTTTTTGCATTTTCAGACATTGTCATCTTATATGCAAAAAAAAAGAAGCCTTCAGACATTTTAGCTACCTTAGCTAGCCTTATTTATGGATTTGCATAATACAACTGCAGACCAGCATTATAAATCAGTACAGCAACTATATGCATAGAAATTGTTCCATAGTACTGAAAATCTACAAATGGGAAAAACAAACTTCCCAAGTTTCCAAATTAATTTTCTTCACTTTTCTAATTATTTCTCCATCTGAGTATCACTGGCCTCTTTCCTGATATCAAAGTTATTTTAAAGGGTAAGGATGGCTTGCTGCTCTTAAATTTTGCTCCATCTTGCATATTCTTCTTCCATTTCATGTTCATGAGCATGGAATTTGATCTGAGTGATGTTTAAAAGATTAAAAATTCTGTGTCGTCCAGACACGTTATCAATCTGAAACATACAAAAATTAATTATATTTCTAGATTATTAATAACTAGCATATTTGAAAGCTCTGTGGTATGCTAGTAATCATATTATATTAAAAATGCTTCTGTGCCAAAACAAATTAAAAAATATACACAACTTGGTGCATCCTGACACTGTTTAGCTTTGTTCATGGATCTGTACTGCAGCAAGAGATAACCTGGTCCTGGGTCCAACCTTAAGGACTAGTTATAGCAAAACATCTTTTTGATCTCAACTGAATAGGTTCTACAGAATCAAATTCCATCCCTGACAGTAAGTGGCCAGAGCAAAATTCAGATCTTATAACACAACTACACTCAGCTCTTATACGATGCTTCTTATCTAAAGATCTTAAAGCATTTACAAAAGAAACAGTATCCTAGCCGCTTATAGCAAGGATACTGGCACTCATATCACTGAAGTGACCGGTATAACATGACCTAAGAGGTGAGCAGAAAAGCTGGAACCCATCTCAATTGGTCTCCAGTCCCTTCCCATTCCCACAAAGTTCCCCATAGTCTCTGTCACTGAAAGCAGCAACAGATTCCCTGGTACCTCAAGCAGGTTGTCAGAGACACAGCAATGAAGGCTCATTTAGTCTAGATAGAATTCCTTGAAGCTGTTATAGTAAAGAAAATATCTATTCTGCATACTTTAATTTGTTCCTCAAACCAGTCTGCTGTTATACTTGGACAATGATGCTGACCACTAAGGGCATTCTGATCATCAAGGAAGGGGGGAGGGGGAGAGAGAGGCCATCGGGCCATGTTCTTCAGAAGGAGCTTGTCTATGCTCAGCATGTTGGAAGCCTAACTACACATCCAAAATAGTTCAATCGCTGGCTCAGTTCATTTTTATTAGAGCATGTAGAGGTTGTTATTTCTAAGTTCTGGCTAGAGTTTGAACAACACAATCTTGATCCCCAGCATCAACTTTGGAGTGTGGGGCAGGAAGCAGAAGCTGGAGGAGAAAAAGGGAGCCAAGAGAACCCAGCAGCTGCAGCCAAAGCAATAGCAGGAAGCAACCAGTGGGCTATAAATTAACTCCTCACAGACTATGGTGCAGCCCACACGCTGCGAGTTGGATATTAACTCCAATGAAAGTACTGTGTAAATAGTAAATAATTTTCTTAGTGATATTAATACAATATATTTCATGAAACCTTAACTTATTAACTGTACTAACATGTCCATTTCAAATCTGGTTTTGCATTGCATACAAGGGGCTTGCTTAACTGCCATTCTGAAATCCTGTTCCTCCTCCTACCAGACAACCTAAGTAACTGACATATGATAAAGAAAAAACACTTAATGTCTAGCACACGTTGTTTTACAGTGAGTAAACAAATGGGCGAAATCAGGGGACCAAATGCATCAGCACATGAATTTGCTGTATTTTTTCTAGAATAAAAAAGTTATGAATTGTGAGCACATAAGACATTTAGGTATAGAAAACCCATTGTACCAAAGAAAAGCATTGCCTGTTGCCAAGTACAGGTGTTATTACTTTTACTGGTATAAGTGATTGGAAACCAGCCTATACCATCAGAACCAGCCTATACCATCAGAAGTTGGCACACAGACTGGTTTAAAAATGGTGAAACCCAGTCTAAGGACCCTCTTCCAACCCCACCCCCAGGGGTGTGTTCAGTTCACTACCAATCTAAAATATACCACCTATGGAAAACCACATAACTTAGATCAATTCCACCTCAGGCTTTTTGAATGTCTGTATCTAGCCTGTATCTTACTTCTTGTATGAGACCACCTTGTATGAGATAATTTCCAGAGAGACTGACTTATCAAGATAAAAAGTCCAAATACAAAATATTGTTATCATTATTAGTACAGCAATAATACTAACAATAACAACAACAGTCACCAAGCACTTTCCATTATAAGATCCTGTTTTCAACTAAATACAACATTGCCAAAGTAGAATTTGGGCTGAAATGTTCTGTGCTAAGCCACTGGCTTGTTTACTTTTCATTCCATGCAGGAAGAGCACACACCAACTGCTGAAACTTCCTTAGCCTGACGAAGGGTTTTTGAACCCGAAAGCTTGCTTAATAACTATTCTCCAACCATTTGGGTTGGTCTAATAAAAGATATCAAATTCACCCAAGGAACCTTGTCTGCCTATGTCCTTAGACTGCAACCCAAACCCCTGTCTCAGGTTAAGTATTTTTGGAAATGTCAAACAAAGCAGTTCAGCTGTTTCCACAGAGTTAGAGAAAGTTATGTTGTTTCCTCATATTAAAAAGTGTCAGACAGTTTCATTACAATAAACGCAGGAGGTACTTTGAGCTAATAAAGCAAGTAAGATATTTCAATCAATATTAAGCAGCAGCTGTCCTCATTTAAAAAAAAACAGAATAAAAACAAGGGATTTCATATTATACCATGGAAGCAGTAGACGAAGAGCACACCTGTTCAATAAATTATATAACTATAATACATTATAAAAGAGCATTAAAATGAAAAACTCATGCAAATTATAGATGTAAATAAAAAAATAAATACAAAAAATTAAAAAGGTTTTCTGGAGTTGGTTTTTTTTCAAAATATTTCAGTTAAATTTCAATTGAAATGCATTAAGTTATTCCCCCATGAGTTTTGACTAATAATCTCCTTTTAAATAATCTTTCTTTAATTTACCAGTTTGTTTTGCAAGATTAACATTATAAAAATACATTGAAAGGATGGGCTACACATACACACCCGCACATCCTTTTTATTCTGGTGCAAGATTTCATTTCCTGCTTCAACTTGCTGTTGAATCTCACAACACTGAAATACCCTTAAAATAACCTTCACTGTGGAATTGAGGCGGAGTCATCTTTACTATGAATTCATAATTAACTGTTTAATTCTTATAATAAGTAGTAACAATGCAAGAATCAGTCATATCAACGTTATCATAAATACCAATGTCACTATTCAAGATCCTTGAAGTCTTAGTTAACATATTATCTAGACTGAACTCTTAATTCTCAAGCAATTTTAACAGTTGAGATTATGTTATTTAGTCTATTATTTAGAAAAATAATTTGCAAACCAAACTCTAACATATTATTATTTTTTATGATTCTATTAATTCCATCTCATTTCCTAGAATATTTCTTTTCTGTAACACAAGCACTACCTAGGTAGTCCTGCAGCACTTACCAAGTATCTTTCTGAGGAGATGCTGACTAAGATGAGGTCATCTCCAACACGCACTTTTTCTCCCTCTGATCGTTGTTTGGAGGCAGGGTGGATGGTCCACCAGCAGGCCTCACCTTTATTTCCATAGGTGAAGGAGAAACAGTAACAGAAACAGAATGCTTAAGATTGCTTTTGTTTTCAGGGGTTTTTTTGGGGTTTTTTTTTACTAATCTCTATGTAACTTAAGACTTTATATATAAATTCATGTTGGTTTTGTTATGCCTCCCTATCATACCTCTGAAGCACCTAAGTGCCCCATAGTGTTAATAGAAAGCCTAATGCAACCCCCTACCCAAACCTTTTGCACCTTGTAGAAGTTCTCAAGTCTCCCATTTTGGGAAACAGAAAGAAGATAATCTGGGCACCTCCAGAAGGCAACCCTGTTGTGCTAAGGAATACACACATGTGTATGTGTGCGCCAAGGACATAAGTGATTTTTCTCTCCCCTGATGTCTAAAAATCTGAAAGAAGTCAAAATACCTACAATACTGCAACATTAATATTAATAGTAGGGGTGTGTTGATAAAGATTTTTTTGGCCAATACTGATGGCCAATTATTAACCAGCAATATTGGCTGATACTGATCTGATAGCCTATATGCAGCTCAGCAGCTTGGAAAACAGCATCTGGCCAGAAAGTCTGTACAGGGGAAGGGGTTCTGGAGGAGGGAAGGGGCATGAGGGGGTAGAATTAGGCCCCCATGATAAGGGAGGGAGTAGGGCTGGGGCTGGGGCAGGGGCAGGATGGAGCCGCAGGGTGCCAGGAAGAGGAAGGCAGCTCTCTGCTGCTGTGCACATCCCTGGGGAGGCATGGCAGGGGCATGTGCCCTCCAAATTTGTGCATAGGGCAAGGGCTCAAGGCCAGGGACTGCACCAGCCTCTTCCTGTTGGGGGGTGGGGGATGGGAGCTGGGCCAGGGCTGCACTCGGGGCGGTGGTGGTGCTGGGAGGGGTAGTTACAGGGAATTTGGGGGTGGCTGTAGCCCACCCCATAGCCACCCCTCCCAGCACCACTGCTGCCTGGCCTGAACACAGCCCTGGTCCAGCCCCCTCACCAGGAAGAGGCCAGTGCAGACCCTGGCCCTGACCCACAGCAGGTAGTCCATCCTCACCCTGTGCAGAAATCTGAGAGGCAGATAAGCCACCCACAGTGCCCCCCAGATGAGCCACCCATGGCTCTGTCCCATACGCTGTCCTGCCCCAGTTGGGCTGTGCCTGCCCCAGCCCCACTCCCTCCCTCACTGTGGGATCTTCAATCTGCACACCCCCCACCCCACCCCTTCCTCCCCACAGACTTACCAGCTGGATGCTGCTTTCCAAACTTCTGGGCTGCATTCCTGGCTGTGTGCCTGCTGTGACTGCACACATGCATGTGGCATTTATTGGTAACATTATTGGCTACACTGGCCAAAAATAGCCGATTGCCAATAGTGTCAATTTTTCTTTTATCGGTGCCAATCCAACATGGACCAATATATCATTCCGCCTCTAAATAACAGTAATAGAAAACCAAAGATTTCAAAGATGCACTATGTAATGATTCTACAGTAATACCAAATTCTTAATCCTTTATATTCTATACTTTTAACAGCCTAAAAAGACACAAAAAACATCAAACTACATATTCTGTAAGGAAAAAAATTACACATAAAATACTGCATGTGTGCAACAAAACCAAGGTAATGTTGCTAAAGAACCTTAAGTTTTATTTTACCAGACATTTAAAAAAAATAACCTGCCATCATGTCTCTCTTAAGTAGTTTCTTTGCAATTATAACTCATTTCATCTCCTGATTAGCCTCAAGATAACCTCAGTGACATTATATTTACCTGTTGTGTCTTCTTGCAATCCCACATCAAACGCCAATTTATCCATTGATGATCGAGAGGTGGAGAGACAACAAAGATACTACCAAGAAAAAAAAAAAACAGGTATGATTTATTCAGCTCATATCTGGTTTTTATTCTGAACAGATAAGGCTGTAACTTTCCTATTATAGAACTGTATACTGGTTTCTGGAAAATCCTAAACGTTCTATATGGAAGTGTAAGTAATTTAATTGCTTCTTGATCAGAATAGGCAGGCAGACTGACAAAGATAAATGTTCTGAAGGAAGCTGTCAATCTTTATCTACTGCATGTCTGTTAAAATAGGAAAAGCAAGTCTGCAAGTAAGAGGTATTATTGACGTTAAAGTCCAGTTATTAGATTTTTATATGCATGTTAATCAGTTTGGAACTCATACAGCTGTTCCAAACTGATTAGGCAATTGAAAATATCATGATTTAATTCTGAATTATACTACATCAAGAAGAAATCTCCCTGTTCAGTGTCTGACTTATTTTTGCATTGTCAGCCAGAGCCAGCTGTAGAGATGCTGCAGTTTATGCAATGCAGACATCTGTCTATTGAGGGAAAAAAAAAGAAATCAACTCATTTAACACAGGCGGATAAAGATATTAATCTTTCAGTATCAGTGTCAGCCAAACCTGGATTTCAAAATGTGTCTAGAAATGAAAGATTCTGTTTCCTGTTACAAGTCTTCTAACTTTTGTGGAGAGTAGGTATCTTTGAATGGCTTGAATAGTGAAACACTTCTCTAATGTGAATAATAACAGAATAATTTGAAATGGCCATAGTTAGAATATTATCAGCTTTTGTTACCATATAACCAAAAAAAAGTATGTACCAGGACTATGATCAATTCAGAAACGCAAAGGCCAAATTCATACATACCATGCCACTGTATGAATGGCGCAGTAATATCGCATGTCCATACAGGAGCGTTCGATGACCCCCACCTTGCGCAGTCTGTATAAATTAAAAAAACAAAAATGATTTATTGCCATGTTGGATCAAAATTTGGCTCTTCTTTGAAACAAAACAAAAATTAACTCCCTGCCCCTGAAGACTCTAGCATGGTATATAATATGATATATGATATAATAATATGAACAAGATAAGGTACAGAATTGTATGTAAGATTCACATTATTTACAGGCACCTTCAACCCATTGTGTGGTGTAAAATAGTTTATCAGCATGCTAATTGTGTCACATCTGTGAGCTAATCACATCTGTGACTCGTGAATAGGAAATGGCAAGAAAGAGGAGACATGCTATAGTTTAATAAAACTTAATTCAGGGAAGTCCTGTCATTGGTACAAGAAAACAGATTAGATGATGATCCCTTCTGACCTTATAATCAATTAATTTGAATTTTAAGATGCCATGCTCAAAAACTCTCGCCATCGGCCTAGTCCAGTTCCCACTGAAGTTACTAAACAATGCTGGACATTTGTAAAACCAATCATGTTTGGTTCTCCTCTTCCTACCCAATAGTAATAGATTTGAAAATTGCTTCCTGCATGTATCTCTGATACTACTGCACCTGAAATCAATTCCTGGACTCTTCACTGACAACAAAATATTGACAAATTGGAGGAATGTCAGAATACAATACCAACAATATGACTAAGAAGCTGGAAAAAAATCACAACTGTTAAATATATAATTGGTTTAAATTGACTAAGAAGGTGGGGCAGATCTTTTCAACAGATTACAAACTTTTAAAGGACTTAAGGACTGGAGGAGAAATAAACTGTTTAAGTAACTAAAAGGAGCATAGCTAGGAATGTAATGAAAAGAGCAACATTTGTAAAGTTACTGTTAGCAAATAGTAATAGTCCATTGGATCAATTGAGATGTGTACTAGGCCCCTAATGGAAATGAGGAAAGTTCCAGTGGTTGAAACCATTAAAATAAGACTAGGTAGAAACAGGAAATTTATTCCAGAGGATAATTCTACACTGGTGGTGTTGGGAGGGGTGGTTTCTGGTATCTTAACAGGGATTTTCGAACACTTCTATAGGTTTGTCTATGAACAGATATTGCACTGATAAAACTTGTATCAATTTACTTAGGTCATACGGCCATTTCAGTTGAGGGCTTTCATGCACTTGGGCTTACACTACGTATGTTCCAATGTTTATTTCCAGTGCAGTTTGCAGACCACAACCCAGACCAGGGCACAGCAGTATGAAATGCATGCCCCAAGAAGCCCCCTGCAGGGTATTCCTGGCATATGTTTCACAATGTTGTGCCCTGTGTCTGGAAACAGGGGTACCCTCAGGGGTTCCCCTGCTTGCTGACACACACCTAGATAATCGCCCTGCAGGATTGGGCCCCTCCAGGCATGCAGCTATGCACCCCAGAATGCCCCACCAGAGGATTCCTGGCACTCATTTCACACTGCCACACCCCACATCTGCAAGTGGCGGGATATAATCTTCCCCACTCCAAACCTGAAGGCAAAATCCAAGGCGTGTGTCTGGAAGCATAGAAGGGAAGCCCATAGTGTCCCTGCTCCATGCCTGCAGATGTGGGCCTAAGGTAGGGGGACCAGGCACTTGGAGCCATGTAGCCCAGTAGCACCTACTCATGGCAGCTGTTGCCGTAATCAAACAGATGTCTACCCTGAAAATGTAGCACAAACTATTACTATAAATTATTGTGGCCACAATTTGGGGCATTTGTCATGTGACAAATATAGATGTCTGTTTGCTTGGGTTTGCTTGGGCATCAAAATTTTCATGGTGGCTCAAAGGCAACATCCGTTTGCAGAGTGATTGGAATTACAGCTGATAAAACCAATTATGTTGTATTGTGAGCCTCTCAATATTACAGGCTTTTAAAATATGGTCCATATAATCTACAATAAATGTTCAAAGGTCCCACATATGCCACAAACGCTAAATTAATATTATTACAGCACCTAACCATTTTCTTTCAGTGAGAGCAGTTATAAAAGTACAAGGAGTACTTATGCATTCCTTAAAGTTATTCAACAATGTTTTCCAATACAAAGTCAACAACATACTATATTAAGTACTTCAGATGTTGCCTTTTGTAATGACAATGCCATACAAACACTGGATTAAACCTTAATATTTAAAATATGGTATACTAACAGTGAATTAAATAATAGTAGTTCTCTATAAAAATCCAAATTAATTAATTATTTGCAAAGCAAAATTGGTACAGCAAAGCTACATTTAATTTATTACTGTCAAAGGCTTAAAAATGCTAAGAGGATCTTAAAAACTACAGCATCTAGAAACAGAACAGAGATGACTAATACAGTCACTAAGACTTAAAAATAGGAAAACTCCTGCCTTTTCTCTTTTAGAAAATCTCAGATTAATGGCTAAAGCTAATTAATTCACCTAATATATACCATTTTACTTTAGGAACTGTAGTTGTAGCTAAAAACATTCCATTACTTTGTCTACCTACAGAATGTGTCTACATGTGTATTTACTGCGCAGTAAATGGTTTTAGGCTAGAGTCTACATGTGCTGCCATTAAAACACAGTAATGCTGTGTGTGGACTGACTTGGGACTAAAGTGTGGACAAGTCAGTTCACACACACGTTGTTAGTGTGCTGTAAAGGGTCTACACATGTTACTGTGCAGTAACTAATCAGTCATGAATTTGATACCTGCATCATGCAGGTATCAAATTACACCCAATTCAGTGTAAATTGCCATAGTTACTGAACAGTATGGGTGTGCACATGTAGATACATGCCCATACTGCACAGTAATTTTCAGTTACTGCACAATAACCTAAATTACTGTGCAGTAAATATGCACATGTAGACATGCCCACTGAGTAGATAAAGTATCTTCCATTTACTAATTCTATAAGTGCTACTGCAAATGATAATATTAAATAATCCTTGCCAGTCCACATTTGGTGGACTCCAAATCTTATTAATTTAGATCTCCAATTCTGGTTCAACTGATTAAAGAAAAACATGGCACTTGACCTGTCTATAGGTAAATGCTGGAAAAATAAACTACCACTGACCAGAAGTATAAGTATTCAGGTACTAGATTCTGTGCTAGACCCACCTCTACCAGAAACTGATTTAGCCTTCCACTGAAATTGCCACAACATATTTGCTTTAACTTCTTGTGACATAGGCTTATCCTTCAATTGCTAAATAGCAAATTACTATCTACTAAGATCTATAAACCAACAGACTAATATAAGTATTTAGTCTGAAGTGGCACCTTGATGAGGGGTTCATGATGCTGTTTGTACTTTTCTAACATATAACAATGTTCCCAGCATCCTGAGATAAAGCAAGTTGGAGATTGCATTAGGTGATCTATATGAAAAGATGAGTACTAAAATGAGTTGTAGGAATACATATATATATGTATATATATGAGTTCAATTAACACTCTTTTCAGGTTTAAAACAGAGTCTGCATATAATTAAAAGGCCAGATTTAAATTGTACTTTGAGATTCAAACTTCATGTGATGTGTAGAGCCAAAATCCTGGAACCAAACATCTCTGATTTTAAAGACTTTTTCCTAATTTTTAGAGATGTGAAGGCAGCAAAAGTGTGTGATTGTATTTCCACCATTGTTACATACAGGTGTCACCTCAGATTTGACCTATTCTAAAATTGGTGATGAAGTAAATAGATAATTTGCATTTGGAAAGAATTAAACATATTGTTGCCTTTTAAACATTTTGGGTAGGGACAGGCATTCAAAAAGCCCAAGCCTGAATTGATTCAAACTTTGCAGAGACTGAACCATTTGGAAAGTGGATAGACATTCCCTTTTCATTCTGGAAATGCAAGCACAGGCCTGAAGTGGCTCAGACCAGAAGCCTGGGGGTGCTACAGCAGCCCTCCCTTCCCTTCCACAGGGAAGCTGAGTTGACAAGGGTGGGGGAGAGGGGGACGGCATGGCCAGGCCACAGTAGGCCTGAGTAAGACTGAGGAGGGGTTTAAACCCCAACCTTGACCTGCAGGGTTCAGAGGGTAGAAGAGGGAGTGTGATGAGATCACTGTGTCAGGGGAGGAAAAGAGGAAGAGGGGGAGGAGGAGGAGAAAGCTCTGCCCTAACAGCAGCTCCCTGACAGCCAGGAGCAATCCTAGCACATAGCACTGCCTGGCCTGGCCCCAGAAGGGAACTCTTCCCACTCCTTCCTCTCCCCCACTCCTGTAGGGTGGGGAGGTGGGGGCTCTGTTCAGAGATGGAGAGGGACTCTTCCCTGTCCTCGTCCCCACCCTGCCACAAGGGGGTGCGAAGGGGGGCTCTGCAAGGCTGTCTGGTCCCACAGGGGAACTCTTCCCCCTACACCTTCCCCACTGCTGCGGGTCAGGGACACAGAGCCCCCCCCCCCCGCCCCCACTCGGCAGCAGTGGAGGCAGGGGGAGTAGGAGGAGGGGGAAGAGTATCCCCAAGCATGGAACAGAGCTTCCCTCCCCACCCTGTGGTGGGGGGAGGAGTGGGGGAGAAGAGTCCCTCTCTGGGGCCGGGCAACCCCGCATAGAGCCCCCCTCCCTGCCCCATGGCAGTGGGGGGAGAGGAGGGGTTAAGTCCCTCTCCAGCACTACACAGAGCCCCCACTTCCCCTCCCTAAGGGAGGAGGTGGAAGGGAGGAGGGGGAGAGGAGCAGGGGGAAGAGCCCCCCTCTGGGGCTGCTCTGCCCCAGCTGCAGTCCCCCGGTGGTGGGGAATTAAACCCCTCCCTGCCCCCTTAGTCTTAATGGGGCCATGCCATCCGGTCCCTGCTGGTGGAACAGGGAAAGAATTAACCCCCTCCCTGCCCACTTTGCCTTAACTAGGCCATGCCAGCTGGTGTCTTGCCAGGTCCTATTCCTGCTCAGGCTAGAGAGCAGAGGGTTGGGGCCAGCACTGCTCTGGAGCAGACAGCACAGCCTAGCTCAGAGAGCATGCTGAGATGCTGAAGGACTCTAGTTTAACTTAAACCAGGAAGGGGTCTG